CATCTTTGCCCTCGCCCGCTCCCAGCACAGCTTCCAGTCGATCAACATCCTTACTGCCACACCCCCGAGCTCGCCCGCTGCCATCAGGCTCTACCAAAGAAGCAACGGTGAGGAGGTATGTCGAGGAACGCATGACAGTCATCGCTCGACGCTATGTAAAGAAATTCAGTGCCCCAGACCCCGGCGACGGATTCGTGGGCTACGCAGGGTTCAGCGAGCTGTGCAAGGACCTACAAAGCATCATCGATGTTCTCTGGTTATCCGGAACACGTAAGGCAGCGCATCCCTTTAACATCGACATACGTCGGTGACTTGGCCTCTCAAGCGCTGACATGCCATGCAGCAAGTTTGCAAATACCCTTTCTACTCAACTTGGCAAGCGAATTCACTAAGTACATTGTGTCGTTTCCTCCCTCGCCAAGGGCTACTTTTGCTATTGTGCGAAAACTTGACAAATGTTTTGCAAGTCTCTTGTGCGGGCAGGACATCGATACGAAAGAACCTCTGCCAGGTTTCGAGAACGGCCTTCGGGCTGGCATGACGACTACCGACATGGTACGATGCCGGAGTCTCGTGGAACAATCTCGTATCCTTGTAATGGAGGTTCTCAGTTCTGATAAGGAGGAGACTGACGATGGCGATCCTGATGATGGCGGGGAAAGTGACACTGACAACCATCGCGATACTCTTCCCATGGCGAATCTTGGTACAGAGCATGGTTCTACCGCCTGGGTCGAAGACGACGAAGTCCGGTTGAGCATGGATGTCGTTCGCGTGTACGAAAATACCATCGTGCAGCTTGGCAATCGGCTAGGTGATACCCTTGGCGGCAAGATACAAATTGGCATTGGCGCGGAAGTCCACTCCAGGCCGGATAGCTGAGCTTCTGTAGGCTGGTTTCATGACTGAATTCCTAACTCGGGCTCCAGCTTGTGCTGCCGACGTTACGGTGATATCATGCAACCAGTTCTGGCACCTACGAATCGTGGTGAAGGACCTCGACATGATCGTCGAGAAATTTCTCCGTCGCTACTCGGTCCCGTGCGTATTCGTTGATTCTTTGGTGTATGCCTTGAGCACATAATTACTCGCATATGGGTACCTTGATTCCGGCCGTCTAACCGGCTCAAACAACTGCGTTTCGTGGGTCACGGGGAAGGAAGTTACCTCCTTCGCGGCGTGGCAGGCAGTTACAGCAGGAGCAAGATATGACCCTGCCAGCTCCCACTTTTTATCTTCTCTTTTCCCCTTCATCCTCTTGAAGAGAGCACATTCTCGTCATATGACACTTGGTTTCCGGGCCGATCTTCGCGCTTCATTTTATGTCACGCCCCTGTCTCCGTACCAAGCCTGTGTCTCGCCTATTTTTCTCACACACGACGCTAAAGCTCCGTGAGTTCTCTTAACATTAAGAACCGAGGCCATGCCTAAGAAGAACTGCAGAGCGGCGGATACAGGCGGTGCTGGCATACACATGTCATTGCTAAGCTCGGAGAATAAAGCAGGCGATGCTGGCGACGACATTGTCCCGGCCTATTTCATAGATCCATCCCCAACGCTGGACGTGGAAGGCGAGGTATGGGCAACCTGTGCTTCGGTCCCAAAAGCCATGCAGGACAACCATGCCAAGCGCAGATTGCCGAGAGGTCTCCAGCAACAACACACATTCACCTTGGAGGAGCATGTTGAGCTTGAATCCAATTTTGAGGATCAATGGATCATGATTGCTTGGCGTAATATTACAGATGAAAGCCATACGACTAACAAGACACAAAATCGGCTTCTCGTGCTTTGCGCTATACAAAACACTTTATGCATGCCTCAGCAGAATGTGGCAGCCACCCTAGTCCCATCGTCCGCTGCGAAAGCCCTGCCACCTAGACACAGAGCCTACGACGACGAATTCTCACCCGCCGCTAGACAAAGACCAATTCAAGCAACTCCAAAATTTGCCTTGGCTCGACAACATCGCGTTGGCTCGGACAGCGCAGGGCCCCCTAGCATTGCCGTGGCCAATCTTCGTGCAGTACAGCAGCCGACCTTCCTATGCCCGCACCAAACACATACCCTGCAGCATTTGAGTGTCGAGGCAAATAATAAACGGGATCGGCTGCCCTTGCGGGCGCGAAGTCTCAACGATCAAAGTGTTGAGGTCCTAAGTCAGGGAAAAACTAAGAAGGTATGACAACCAGACCGTGTCACATACCGACCCAAGGGTCGAATGGCGCCGACCCGCCTGCCTCATCGCAGCAGGTGTATGGTTGAGGAGGAACAAGAGACTTTACAGATCACAAACCTTGCTCAGCCAGATAGTGTCACATTGGACGAGAGTATGACTAGCTCGTACAGCAACATCTGAATTCATATTAAACTCCAAGAATCGTTACCCTCGGGACTCCGAAATCATGCCGCACAGTCCGTCCTTTCGTGCCGTCCTGTGGCAACGTCAGGAACTCCACACCTTCGACGCTCTAACAGTACACAGGTAGGCAGTTCCCCAGAAGATATCCACGTGCCCAACAACCGACCGATTTTTGAAACTGTCCCCGACTGCCCAATTAATACTTTGCCCCATCAGTAAACTTTGACAGCAAGCCGCGTTCCTACGGACACAATCGTGCTTGAACGTGCCCCCTTCTCGTCATCCTGTATGCGCGTTTATTGTAATGTGCTGGTCGCTCACCCCGAAAAATAACAATGAAAGAGAAGCATAACAAGCCACACAACACCAGCCACAGACCAATTGAAGCCTCAGCGCCATCGCCCTGAAATGTAGCCTTGTGGTATCCCGGAGCACCGCAAGAAAGGAAACATAACTGTAATGCATCACAACATGACGTCAGAAAGCCACGAGATCGCCTAGTTAGGCCACGTCTCCTGGATTGGAGATGGTATTTGCCGCGCCTGCTGCGTAGTCGTGTCATCCAAACTCAGTTCTCGCAACATGAACGCTGTCGGGGCAGGATGGGTTCCAAATCAACGATAGCGTCATGGCACATTGACGAAGGCCGTCTCTTATTCGGCTCCAATTTCTCCGCCTTCCATACCGAACGAGCCGGCGTTAAAATCAAACCCTTGGTTATCTCCGTCTTCATGGAGGAAAGAATCAAAGTCGAAGTCGTTGAGAACATCGTTCGACACGAGAGGGTTGGCAAAGTCCATGGTGCCAAAGTTCATCATGTCTGCTGAATTATCCATGCCGCCGAAGGATCCATTTTGAGATGCATCTGGCTGAGGCGGGGGAGGAGCTGAAGCTGCAGGCGGTGCCACAGGAGCGGCGGGAGCTACTTGCCCGTTTGACGCTCCAGCGGCCGTCGTGCTGGGACCTGCCTTGTTGAAGCCAGCAGCATTGACGGGTGTCATAGGAGTAGCTGGCGTCGGTGGCTCTGCTTCCGCAGCACCGTCGGCAGCAGGCGTGGTGCCTGCGTTAAGGTTCGAGTTCGACTTCTTGTTTGTGGCAGCCTGTGTTCGCATATCGATTAGTTCTTTTATTCTAGTGGCGTTTGTGCGTAGTTCACAGCGATGCTTACCTTGCTCTTCGCATTCTTTGTGTCCTTCTTCTTCGGGGCAGCCTTGTTTGTTTGTGACGGCGTTGGTGGCGCTGCTGCAGGCTGTTGTGGCGAAGAGGTGTTCGTCCTGTTCGTATTCGGTCCTGGAGCCGAAGGGGGTGGCATGGCCCGTTGTTGCGGGGTGCCCTGGATTGGGCCGGGAGGAACCATCTGGCCATTGGGCGCTGCTTGCCACTGTCCCGCAGGATTTCCACCTGGTGCACCTTGCTGCTGCTGCTGTCTAGCAGCCATCATCTGCTGTGGGTTCATCTGTGGCCCGTTAAAGGGCTGGCCTGGATGGCCATTGTGTGGGCGCATGCCATTCATATGTGCTCCGGGAACCATGTTGCCGCCAATGTTCGCCATGTCTTTGCTGAAAAAGTTTGGTGCCATAGAAGGATCCATGGAATTGGGCATAAAGTTCATCGTGCTAGGAGAGCCGCGAGATTGGGCGCCCTCGGGCAATGGGGAAGGAATTCCAGCGTTGTTCATCTGTGGCGTACCTCGCTTCATCTGGTCGGAAGGGATCGGAGAGGCGCCGGTTCTGCCACCTTGGGGTGAAGTCTCTGGGAAGGGCTGACCGTTCGGACCAGTCGGACCGCCAGGGCCGCCAGGACCTGTAGCACCATCGCCACGAGGCATGCCGCCCATATTGTCTTGTTCTTGCCGAGCCATCATGAGTCTCTTCTTATTCTGTTGCTCGAGAAGCATTAGCTGCATTTGATAGTCTTGCAGAGCGTGGTTACTTCCACCGCCAGCTTGGGGACCACCGGGACCAGGTCGCATGCCACCTGGTCCCATTTCCCCCGCATTGTAGTATGCTGTCAGAGCAGCGGCTTGCTCAGGATTCTGCGGCATCATGGGCGATCCCTGCGCCTGAGGACCTCCTGGTGCATTAGGCATCTGCTTGTTGGGCATCTGGCTTGCTTGATGCTGTTGAAGATTTTGAGCATAGGTGGCAATGGATTTTGCCTGTACAGCTGGGGGTTGGTTTGAGAAGGTGTTGAACTGCTGAGGGGTCAGCTGAGCTGGGTTAATGCCGTTGCTTAGAAGCATTTGCGTGGCTTGTGCTGCGTGCTGGGCGTTCCCCACCTGCTGCTGGCCCGGCATGCCCTGTTGTGGTCTTCCGTTGGGCATCATCCCAGGCTGGTTAGGGTTGAAAGGGGCGCCGTCCAGGCGAGGTCGTTTGGAGGGTGAGGGAGCGTTTTCCGAGGAACCGGGAGACGCAGGCCGTGGGCGGTTACCATCCATATCCGAGGGGTCCCTCTGCATCTGATTCTGCTTTGCCTGGTGAAGCATCTGCATAGCTTGAGGACTTGATAAAGGGTGTTGTCAGCTAGCTGTGCATGCATGAAAGAATTTTCCACGACTCACTTGTTTTGATTGTTGGCCATGGCTGTTCGCGCAAGGTTACCCTGTTTCATGCCCATGGCCATACCCCCATTTTGCATGCTTCGCATCATCTGGGCCTGGTATTGCTGCTGGGCGAGACCGTCGGGGCGCATTTGACGAAGTAGTTCTTGTTGCTGATTCTGGCGCAAGCGTGACTGTTGCTGTGAGGCGTGTCAGCATCCGGACGGAGATTTTGGATTCGCAAAGAAGACAAGACAAAAACACATGACTCACTTGTGTATGGCTGACATATTGATTGACTGGCCCGTTACCGCCTTTGGCGCGTTGCGCGTGGAAAATATCCCAGAAGAGACAGAACCATTCATGTGGG